GGGAAAGAGAGTAAGAAAGAAAATGTGATAAAATGTTAACATTTTAGTGATTTGAGTGAAGAGTATATGGAAATTCTTTGTACTATTTTTGCAACTTTTCTATAAGTCTGCAATTATTTCAAAATAAAAATTTAAAAAAAGAGACCATGCCCAAACATAGGTACTCTTCTAGTAAGCACATTTGTGCTATTTTCCTACTTTTTGGAGTTGTAGATTTAGCATTTCTCTATTTTTCAGTCAAAATAATAATTATTTTTTTCAGTTAAAAATATTAAAACAGTTGAAGGTATCACATAATTTCAATGGTATTTTTCAAAAAATGAGAGTATAATGTAATACTTTGTTTTGGCTAACTATAACAATGTATAGCTTAACAACATAGTACTTGTTAGCAAAATTTTTGCATAACTCTTCCTTCTGTGTGTATTCTGCAGCCTAAATCTGTCATCGTTGGATTAATTAAAGAAATGATTGCCAAGTTTCAAGAGGAACTTCCTCTATATTCTCTATCATCATCTGATGAGGCACGGCAGGTGGACTTGCTAGCCTATATTGCAAAAATTACTGAAGGTGTGTAGTTTTCTTAATCAGTATGTATGCACAATTTCTGACTAATAGTCTTTATTCTCTGCTACTTGATTTTTATAAATACATGCATACACACACATATCTGTGCTGAATCAGAAATTTTAGTACATCTATTAAATATTACCTACTATACCATTCCAACGAATATGGTTTCTTGAAATGTAAAAGATTACTCTTATACTGACAGATAAAATAATTCATGTTTTCAAAACCACTTGATATATATTAACAGTCTCAAACCTTTTTCATTGTATGTTTGTGGGTTTTTTTTTTTTTTACCTCATTTCAGTATATTAGACTAGAAAATCTTTGATTCTTAGTGTTTCATATTGAGTATAAAGCATAATATACATGCTTGCAAAATTTAGTGAGGTGCATTTTAGACCAGAGCAATAAGGATCAGAATGTTTTTCAGAATTACGGAAATCCTATAGTTTTTTAGTCTTTCATTTTTTAAATGCTTAAAAGATTTTCTTTTTAAAAGAGTAACCTCGATTTAGTAGACTTTAATATGGGATTCCTGTCTTTCCTACATTTCATTTGTTCAACAAGTGTTTTTGAGTTCCTGTTATGGACCAGCACCATTTTTTCTGTCCAAGTCATCGAAGGTTGGTATATTTTTTTTCAAAAGATGCTAAAAAGATTTTGATATTTTAAAATTCTCATGATCATTCATTTTTCTTGCTAGGTGTCTCAGACATAAATTCAAAGAACTGGGCAAATCATGAGAATAAAACAGTTAATAAAATTACTGTTGTTGGAGGTGGAGAATTGGGAGTTGCCTGCACATTAGCAATTTCAGCAAAGGTATGCAAGCATAGTGGTATAAATATACCTATTATATTGCTACATTTTTAGGTAGTTTATATTAAACCTACAAGAAGTAATGACTTAATTTTGTCCTGTGGGGAAAAACTCATCTTGCCTTAAACTATATAGTTAATTGACAAAAAATATAGTTGAAAGCTGTCATCAGTGTTGTTGCCTCTTACTTAGTAGCCAGTCAGGGAAGGCTTTGGAAGAGTGATTTGAACAATGGGCACATCATCCTAATCCAAGGAAAACCTCAGGGTGACATTCATTTGACTTAGTCACTAATTCTTTTGTTTACTGAGTCATGCTACTTTAATTAAATTCTTATTTAATAATTTTAGCTTTCTAAAATTAGCATTCTTTTAAAGATTGCCTTTTCTTGTTAATTACTCTACTTTTAGGATCATAGTTCATGTGTTGCTATTTTACACTAGTTTGAGATTTGTTTACATTTCATCAGTCCTTTTTACTAGATCTTTTCTGTATAAATTATTTTCAGAAAGGTGTTTAAATCCCCTTCCAGAGTGGTTCAGGAGACCCTCTGGGGCCCAGTACCATGGTAACAGCATGTTGATGTCATTTGAGGGATGTAGTCCAGAATAGAATAGCTGTCCCTCATATGTTTATTTGGTAGCTGGTATTTGGTTAAGACTTGTATATGTCTTAGAGGTAAGGTCTACTTCAGCAGATAATTAAACTGTATCCAGAGAGCTAGAAAATTTTACTAACTCTTGATGTACTATAGTTTCATTTATTCCACCCTCCATCTTAACATATTGTTCCCTCTTAATTGGAATTTGAATTGTTTTCAGTTCTTTTGTTACTAAATAGAGTGCTTCTGTAAACATTGCTTTACAAGTTGCTTATTTTCTCCTCTGAATTTTCTTTTAGGTATACATAGTCTCAAAAATAGTACTAGTGAGTCAGAGGGCACGCATGCTTTTTATGGCACTTATTACATATTGCTAGATGACTCTTCCGAAAAGCAGAACTAACCTATGCCGCTAATAAAAAAGTGCACATCAACCTGATTTTTGACATCTCTAACAGTACTGAGTTTTACCCATTTTCTTTCTTTTTCGTTGTTAAATACAGGAAAGCCCCTTATTAAGAAGTGTTTCCTTTAACTGTTAGAAGAGTCTCACTCTCAGTATTTGTCTGTGAACTGTCTGGATGAAAAATTTTTTTCCATTTTTCTTTTAAAACATTAGTATTTCATAGAAAGGACAATATTCAAATAGTGCAACAGTATTCAAATAGTACAGTAGTAGTCATAATAGTGACAGTAGTTTGTAGTAGTGGTGGTACCAGCAGTAACGTTTACTGAATACTTACTAAGTGCCAGGCACTCATCTAACACTTGACTCATTTTTATAGCATCCCTATGGCTTAGATTCCATCATGACTGCCATTTTACAAGTGAAGAAACCAGGGCATAGGGAAGTTACCCGACTTGCCCAAAGTCACACTGCCAATAAATGGAGCAACAATTTGAAGCTAGGCAATCTATTTATAGAACTTGTATTCCAGATGCTTACTATTAAATGCTTGGCTTTCAGACCAGCAGCACTGACGTTGTTGAGATTTTATTGTGTAATCCAAGGCCCCACTCCATACCTATGGAAGCAAATCTGCATTTTAACAAAGTCCCTGGTAATCTATGTACTGTGTAGATCTGTTAAATGTGATCCCTTAGAGCCCGAGAAGCTCTGCTCCAAACTACTACTGCCTCATCATTGATCTTGTTGTTATCGATGCACATTTAGGTGGTTTCTCGTCTTTTGACTATCTTTATACATATTGTATCATTAAACACATATACTAATAAACTTATAGAATAATTTCTATAAATGAGATTTGTGGGTTAAAGGAATTACCGTGTTTTAAAATTTTGATAGAAACTGTCAAATTATCCCCCATGTCACTTATACCAATTTATTCTCATACCCACAGTGTGTGAAAACACCTATTTTTTTTGCTGTTGTTAAACATTTGGATCTTTGCATGTCCGATAAATGAAAAATGGTAATTCATAGTTTTCTTCGCATTTCTCTTACAAGTGTATTTAACAATAATAAAATTAATAGGTGCAATTTAGAACTGCTCTCTGCCAGCCCTGTGTCACATAATTAAGTCTCACAACCCATGAAGTAAGGCCAAGTTCATTGACTTGCCCAGTATTACAGAGCTAATAAGTAGTATAGCTAGGTTGTTTTTTTAACTTCTACACTTTCTGCTTTATAGTATAGTATATCTCTGGGTACTCTTGCCCCTGTACTCTAATATAGGAGGCATCCTCAGATTCCTTATTACTTTGGAAAAAGAACTTTCACAAAGGTAAAGTGTCTTTTAGGAGTTTCCATGCTGTCATTTACAGTCAGAGCACCATGGCTCCCAGGGAGCCATATTTTCCCATGAGCTCTTTGGGGAGAGTACCAGATGATAATAGGATTTTATTTTAGATGTATGGCCATTATCCTTCTTTTTTTTTTTTAAAGAGAAACTTGGCATTAGGTTGATTTTCGTGCTAGAAATGAGATGCTAAAATAGACCCCAAAAATCACTCTAAATTCTTTCAAAATGTAAATTATGACATCAAAATGAAAACATAAACTCAACAATAGCAAGCATACTGAGTTCACAAAGTCATCTTAATTACATCGCATCAAAAGAAACGTGCAGTCTACACTTCTGATGATAGCCCTGTTAGATTCCAGTTTCCAGGCAAGCCTAAAGAATCACATTATTCAAATTCATAATAATGTCTTACTTGCATGTCCCTTTTATTGTTCTTGTGTTACTTTTGTTTCATAAGACAGCACAGGAGACCTCACTCTGAATGAATTTAAATTGAGTAACCAGCCATGTCCAGTGTAATGCTGTTCTTTTTCTTATTATACTGTACAGGGCATTGCAGACAGACTTGTCCTCTTGGACCTCTCAGAAGGGACTAAAGAAGGGATGATGGATCTTGATATCTTCAACCTGCCTAATGTGGAGATCAGCAAAGGTCTGGTTATTCTGCTTAAAAGATATATGCCTTATTTACTCTTGTATTGAAGTCCTAGAATTTTTTTAATAGAATTTATTTTTTAGAGCAGTTTTAGGTTTGGAGCAATATTGAGCAGAAGGTACAGAGATTTCCCATATACCCTCTGCTCCTGCACATGTATAGACTCCCCCATTGTCAACATCCCCTGCCTGAGTAGTGCAATTGATGAACCTACCTGGACACATCCAGAGTCCATAGATTACATTAGGATTCACTCTTGGTGTTACATTCTATGAGTGTGGACAAATCTATAGTGACATGTATCCACTATTATCATATCATAAAGAGTTGTTTCTTGCCCTAAAAATCCTCTATACTCTGCCTAGAGTCTTAAAATTGTAATGCTAAAGCACCTTAAAAATCATCTAGTCCAAATCCTCTAAGATTCAAATAAGTTAAGTGACTTACTCAGAGTCATACAGAGACTGCAATTGATTATATTAATAAGAGTCAAATAAGCAAATAATATACAGATTAGTCAGAAGGATTTATTCTCTGTCTCTGGCCGACACTTTAGTATAAATTTTTCTCTGATTGCTTCATTTTTCATAATATATTGATTAAGTGTTCTTAATCAATATATGATTAAGAGTTAGACAGTTGGGGGTTTGCATCCTAGCTTGATTTTTCATAATATATTGATTAAGAACACTTAATCAATATATAGTTTTAGAGTTAGACAGTTGGGGGTTTGCATCCTAGCTCTGCCACATTATAGCTCTGACATTGGCAGATTCTATAATCTCTCGAAGTTCACTTTTATCATCTGTAAAGTGGGAAAAATACCTGCCTGTTGGTATATAGCAAAGTGCTAAACCAATTTTAAAAAAAAAATTCAATTCACATCGCTTTCACTAAAAATATATTGGAGTTTTGGGGGGCATTTAAAAATAATTTAAAATCTTTTTCAATTACAGTTGACATACAATATTAGTTTCAGGTATACAACATAGTAATTAGACATTTATATAACTTATGATATCATCGCCCCAATAAACCTAGTACCCATCCGACACCATACATAGTTATTACAGTATTATTGACTATATTTTCTATACTATACATCCCGTGACTATTTCGCAACTACCAATTCGTGCTTTATAATCCCTTCCACCCATTCCCCTCCCCCTCCCATCTGGCAGCCATCAAAATGTTCTCTGTATCTATGAGTTTGTTTCTGTTTTGTTTGTTCATTTATTTTGTTTTTTAGATTCCACATACAAGTGGAATCATATGGTATTTCTCTTTTTTTGTCTGACTTATTTTATTTAGCATAATACCCTCTAGGTTCATCTATGTTGTTGCAGATGGCAAGATTGCATTTTTTTATGGCTGAATAACATTCCATTTTATATATGTACCGCTTCTTTATCCATTCATCTGTCGATGGACACTTCGGTTGTTTCCATGTCTTGGCTATTGTAAATAATGCTGCAATGAACATATGGATACATATGTCTTTTTGAATCAGTGTTTTGGGTTTCCTCAGATAAATACCTAGAGGTGGAATTACTGGGTCCTTCTTTGTCTCTTGTCAAAGCTTTTGTTTTAAAGTCTATTTAGTCTTGTATAGGTACTGCTACCCAGCTTTTTGTTTGTTTCCATTTTCATGAAATATCTTTTCCATCTCTTTACTTTCAGTCTGTGTGTCTTTCTATCTGAAGTGAGTCTCTTGTAAGCAACATATGTAAAAGATGTTTTTTTATCCATTCAGCTACCCTATGTCTTTTGATTGGAGAACATAAGCCATTAACATTTAAAATAATTTATTGATAGATATATAGTTATTGCCATTTTATTTATTTATTTTTCTTAAGTCCCTTTAATATTTCTTGTAATACTAGTTTGGTGGTGCTGAACTTCTTTAGCTTTCTCCTGTCTGGGAAAAAACAGATTGTTAAAATAAGTTTTAATAAACAAAAAGAGTTTTTGTATCATTAACAAATAAAATTCTAAATGTTAAAAGAGTAATTTTTATCTCACCTTTTTAATTAAAAAATTTTGCATATATTTTATAATGTACGTAAGTATAGTCACATATATATGTGGGTAAATACTGTATTTGGGGATGTAGTCTTAAAAGTGTTTTATTACCAGGGATGCATGATCAAAAAAATTAGAAGAACATTAAATTAGAAAATGTTTACTCTAAACACTATAAAGTGTTTAACCTTCCAAAACCAGGTTATAGCGAAAATCAGGTTGTAATATGTTGTAGTTGTTTGGCTTTCCTTTTCTTTTTTTTTTACTTAGGTCCCGTGTATTCCTTGACCATCTTCTCCAAATAAAATGTTGAGACATAATGGTTTCACAAGCCTAAAAATACTAAGAATAATAGTGGGTCAGAAAAATTGAAATTATACCTCCAGGTCAGAAAAATTGGGTGTAATAGTTATAGCAAGCCTCTGGATCTCTGTAGGATACAAAGAGTTCATTTTCTGCCTCTGGAAAGAGTACAATAGTTGCTTTAATGATCCTTTTGTAGGCCTCATATAGAAGCTCCCTGGGGGAGTTGGATATTCTCTTGTGCATGTCATTTCCAGGCACTGAAGTTCTTAAGGGACCTCTTAACTCTTCCAGATCACTTTCCGGGACTGTTTAGTACATGGGCCCTAGAGGCTGTGAGGCCATTTAGGACCTGCGGAAATTGTTTCTTCCTACGTCTCTCATTAACCGTCAATAACTATTATTTCAGATAATCGAAAGACTAGAATCCTTGGAGTAGATATATAGGGGGTGGTGCTTGTCACCTCGGAGGGAATATTGAATGAGTACACGCTATCTTGGGGCAGGTTTCATGTTCCCCTTGTTAATTTTGGTTGTGCATTCCCGATAACACTTAATTACTGTTACATGAAGTAATTTTAAATATAATGTTAACTAACATCTCATAAATATACTCTAGGATATAGAGAAGTGCATTCATAATTTTGGGAAGTCAAACTCATTTGGAAATTTAGTAATGCCCCATTGTGACAGGCATTGATTACTGTACCTAACTGATCAAGTTGTACTTTGTTCCATTTGTATATTTTTTTGATAGATACTAAAACATTTGGGGGAGGGATATACATAATTATATATGAGCTTGCGTTATATATACATACACAAACAGTTAAGCTTCTGTATACATAGACTAAGTCTGGGATAATGCTAATAAATTGTTTCAAAGTAGTTTCAAGAGTCAGACGGGGGAAACTGGTTCTGCACTTGTTTTATGCACTAAATATTTTTATCTTTCCTTAAAAAAAATTTTTTTAATTCATATAAAATTTACCATTGGTGACTTTTTTTTTTGCTCTGAAATGCATTTTATAAAAAATGATACACACTGAATACCCTTAAAAGTAGTCCAATTGGATAAATAAGTGATTTCAATAGCTTTACAGCTCCATATCAGAAATTTAGCAACAAGGAAACTTGCTTGTGAATTCCAAGAGAAGAGATGCCAAGGTCTTTGAAGCACTCCATCTTCAGAAATCTTTCACATGTCTATAGCCATGCCACCCAGAACAAGCCCAGTCCCGTCTGATCTTGGAAGCTAAGCAGGGTTGGGCCTGGTTAGTACTTGGATGGGAGACCACCTAGGAAGACCAGGTGCTGTAGGCGTTAAAAATAAAAAATAAGGGATTGTAAGCTGACAAGGTCCTTGCAAATCTGTGAGGTCAACCAAGGGTTGCTGCGCCTAAAAATAAATAAATACATAAATAATACATTTAAAAAAAGAGAGGGCAGGGTTCATCATTCCAGTAATCATCAGTAACTGAAAAATCACACAGACGTGGAGCTATTCCCCATGAGTCCTCCATGTTGCAGATCTCCTGCAGCCCTTTCCCTTCTCCTCTTGTTATCCAGAAGGTTTCAGGGCATAGTTGGTCACTTTCAATGACATTCTCCCACTGTGTAGCTAAATGGCACCAAGGCAAAATTCTGTTTATATCGCTTATTCCCATGAAATTTGAAACTTCTCTGTTTCCACAAAAGTCCATGCCAAGAGGTGTGGCTTTTTCTTTTTTGTCCTTTGTTTTCACTCCGGAAAAGCGGAAACATGCAGGCTACCCTTAGAGATCACTGAGTCTGACTGCTGCCCAGGATGGCCCTATTTGAGGCTCACAGTGAATGAAGACACTGAGGGCAGATCTTTTTAAAGAGACTAATGAGAGAGATTAAGAGAGAGCATACATGAGAGAGAGCACGTGCATCCTGGGGTCCTCAAGGCAGGATGTCTAGAAGTTGAGAAAAACAAGGCCTACATCCTATTTTTTGAGGCTCCTGGGTTGCTCCTGCCTGCCATAAACTTATCTGAATCTTTCCAGTCCTCTGGGGCTCATCTCAAGTCACCATTAGTAACATTTAGCACAAAGACAATGTTGTAGAACTGTCAACACTGCCTAGTTCCAGAACACTTTAATCAACCCAAAAGGAAATCCTGTACATATTAAGCTAAATCTCCACTTTCGCCTCTCCCCAGGCCCTGACAACCACTAATCTGCTCTATGGATTTGCCTCTTCTGGATATTTTAGGTGAATGGAATCATACAATATGTGGTGATTTGTGTCTGACTTCTTTGTCTTAGCATGATGTTTTCAAGGTTCATTTATATTGTAGCATGTCTAAGTACATCAGTCTTTTTTATGGCTGAATAATATTCTATGATACAGACATACCACATCTTATTCATCTATTTATCATTTGATATTTGGTTTGCATCTTTTTTGCTATTGTGAATAGTGATGCTGTGAGCATTCATGTACAAGTTGTTTGAATACCTGTTTTCAATTCTTTTAGTTATATACCCAGAAGTAAAATTGCTGGGTCATGTCCATTCTGTGTTTAAGTTATTGATGAATTAATATCTTTTTGAAGATCATTATTAATAGCATATATAGATCTAATAGCTCTATTTGTTTGAACAGCTTCATAATACTCTATCATATGGATGTCTGTCTACTATTGGTAGACATTTTGGTCATTTTGCATTTTTGTGATTACAAATAATGCCGCAGAGAACATTGTCATGCAAAAATCTTTGTGTACTTCTCTAGCAAGATTAAATAGAATTACTGGGTCAAAAGGTATGTGTTTTTAAAATTTACATTATTAAGTTGTACCAATTTATACTCTCATCAAAAGTATATGAGGGTTCCTATTTTCTTTTGATTACTTTTATCCTATATTAGACAAAGCTAACAGGATAATTCTCCTCTGATACTGTTTGTATCATGTCATTTCCTTGCTGAAGACATTATTATGTTTGTCCCTTAATAATAATAATAGCTGCCATTATTTTAGGGAATCAGTAATATATGGTAGATATTTCACATATATTCACAGTCTTTACTTCTCTTATTTTATTTTATAGATGGCTCAGAGAGATTGTGTATTAGGTCACACAGTTATTAAGTGGCTGAGCTGGGGTTTCAAAGATATGTTTGTTACCAGTTTCTTGTGATTTACTCCAGAAATAGTCTGTGTATATACAAGCATAAATGTTTGTGTGTACAGGTATATATACACGTGTGCACATGAAGTAAAAGGTGTTCAATTGTTATAAATTAAAAATAAGTTGTTATTGACATATAGAGCAGAGTGAAATTTGCTCAATAGCCAGTGGTTCCTAAAACATGATTTATACATTGATCACTTGTGTCACCTCAGGTGCTTTTTAAAATTACAGATGCCTGGCATCTATTCCAGGCCTGTGGAGAAATTAAAGAGTTTGGGAACTTGGTGGGAAATCTCATGGAGTAGGAATACTTTCTCGCACTTTTGAAACCATATTAGGCAGCTACTACTCTGTTTACTCATAAGTCATTTAAAGTAGAGGAAGCTAAAGGGGGAAAGAAAAGAAATTATCCTGGCGAGATAGGTTGGGGCCAATTTATAGGGTCATAAGTTAAACCATTCACTGATATTTAATAGTATGGACAAGCCTAATCTTTCCAGGTATCAATGTCACCATCTTTATGAGGGTATAGGACTAATTTTCTAAATATAGCACAGTGCTTAACAGCACTGAAGCCAGACTGCCTGGGCTTGAAATTCTGGCTCTGCTACTTCCTAGTTCTATGACATGGAGCAAGTTATTTAACTTCACTGTGCCTTAGATTCCCCATCTGTGAAATGGGGATGATGATAATCCCATAGTGTGTTGTAGATTAGAGTAAATAAGTAAATATATGGAAAGCTCTTAGAATAGTACTTGGCAAGTAGAAGTAATAGGGAAGTGTTAACTACATCCCTTCCAGTTCTGATGTCTTCCGATTCTTTAGGTTTTGTCTCATTACCAGATATCTACTCAGAATACTAGAACACAGGAATTACTTAAGAGGACTCATAAAAAACCACAATTAAAATCCAGAAGTCAGTTTTTGGATCTACCATTTTAATTATGTGGATTATGAACTAAAATTTAATAGAAAATTCACTTCCCAGTGGACACATTGCACAAGTGTTTCCTTCTGAAACTTGTTTTAAAAGATGGTCTTAGAGGATTAATTAAGACTGTAAACCCTGGCACCTACTCATGGTCTCCCTGGAATGCTAATATTCATTTACAAAGGTTGACTATACTGATGCCATTCTAGCTGGTTTGTTATTTTTCTGTTGTTTTTGATGCCTATAATGTCTGGCCACTATTTTAGCATATACTTACTGTACAACGTACTGTGTAACAGAGTAAAGTAGTTGTAAAATGGCATATGTGTGTTTGAGGATCAGAACAGTGAACTCTCAGAGAACAGCTTTTCCTAAAATTTTAACAGTTACTTATATGTAAGTCCCATTGAAAGAAGAACCTAAGACCATGGACACTGGGCTTCGTTATAAGAAAAAAACAGTAAAAAATCAGCCAAGACATTTTATCTTGATTTAAAGATTTTCAAGCTATTTTTTTTTCCTCTTTGGAATAAAATCCTTAATAAACAAAACAGATACAAGCAAAACTCCTCTGCTTGGAGAAGTCAAAGTAAACAGCCTGGAGCCATGCCTGCCAACCTTCTTTCCACTTATTCCCAGTCACCCAGATGGCCTCTGAGTCATGTTGAAGGAACTCTAGAACTCCTAAGATCAAAGTTTAAAAATCAGTGATATAATTGATTATAGGTACATTTTTGCCTGTAGCATATTATTTATTTTCCCTAAGAAAATTGTGATTATATAAAAATGCAGTTCCTTGTTTATGGGTTCTGGATTCTCTCATTTATTTGGTTTATCTTTATTGCTTTCTTCTCTCCCACCCCCTTGGGATATATTCTTGCTCTTAATCCTCTTTCTGGTGGCAAACTTCAGCACTTTGTATACTTCCCATGGGAATAGGATTGATCTAGGGGGGCAAGTGTGCCTAAAAGCTCTCTATTTGTAGAAAAGAAACCTTATTATCATGAACACAAACTTGAATAAAACCTAAATCTTGGGCTCAGACTGTTTCTTTTTATTCATTAGATTTGTCTGCCTCTGCTCATTCCAAGGTGATCATCTTCACAGTTAACTCTTTGGGTAGTTCTCAGTCCTACCTTGATGTGGTACAGAGAAATGTGGATATGTTCAGAGCCTTTGTCCCAGCTCTGGGACATTATAGTCAATATAGTGTCCTGCTCGTTGCATCTCAACCAGGTAAAAGGTTTTATTTTAAATGAATTTAATGGTCTGGTGTATTGGTAGAATTGCCATTATTGATAAAACTAGATTATAAAGAGATTTATAGAGTATTTAGTTAAAGTCCTCTTATAATAAACAGTACAGTATTTCCATATCCTGTCAACCAGTTACTTCTTATGACTGGCATTTACTAGAAGGTTGCAAATTACAATTTTTTAATGTACTATTACTATTATTATGTTCCAGGTTGTTAGCCATGCTTTCCTCAGTGACAAAATGTTTAAACACCCAAGTGAAAAGTGCACTGGCTTATGTGAAAGAGCTTTTGTTAATTCTGAAGCGTCATAAAATGTTAATGGGCATGCCAGAGTAGCAGTTTTAACGTTTTGTATTTTAAATTGTTTTGAAACTGTTTTACTTTAAAAAAAAAAAATGTTTTCAAAGAGTTAGGTGTGTTATTGGACTCAAATTGGTGAGCAGATTTTTCAGATGTTCCCAATATAGGAGTATAGTATGCATTTCAGTTTGTTTTCCTATAGTAATTGGTTGAGGGACACTGGTCTCTTTGATTCCTGACACCATTTTGGCATGTAAGAAAAAGCAGTTGTGTTTTTTGTTCATAATGCTGTACTGCATAGTGGTCATATATGAATCAGTATTTTAATTTAAAGATACAAATGCAGCCTAAGATAGATTATAAAAACAGAACTTGATCAATGGAAAAAATTGTCTTCTGTGCCCAGGTTAGTTCTTGCTTAACTATTCTAGGAAATTATCTGTTTTTTACTCTTAACAATTTATACTTAACAACAGAATTGTCTTAAATCATGCTGAAACCTGGTTCATGTTTTTCATATACATTAAAAATATATTATGCCTCATACGGTACTTAGGACCTAAGAACAGTATATACAAGTTCTAATATACGTATTAAAATAATATTTATGAGTAGGCTAGAAGTATATATTTTTTTAACCTTTATACTTTCACCTTGTATGCAATATTTAGTGGAAATCATGACCTACGTGACATGGAAACTGAGTGCATTTCCTGCAAATCGAGTGATTGGAATTGGATGCAATCTGGATTCACAGAGATTACAGTATATTATTACAAATGTTTTGAAGGCAGAGACTTCAGGAAAAGAAGTATGGGTTATCGGTGAGCAGGGAGAAGACAAAGGTAAGAAATAAATTTTTAGTAGTTATATCGATAACCTAAATCACCAGTGGCCATGATATTCACATATATCTGGGGACTCAAGAATTGTAAAGCTTAGTTGGTTTTTGTTCCACATTCGAGTGCCTTCAGTGTAACATGCCCTGTGAATAGACACCTCAAACATGTTATTCTAATTATATTTACTTTTCTGTAAGTTTAAGATTAGGCAAGACCCCATAGTCAGATTTTGTATGTTTTCAAAACTATTTTCTTAGAATTTGCAGTTTCCTATATGCTTTGATGCCAAATATTAACAGTTGTTACGTCTGGGTTAGAAATAACTTTTAAAAATTTGTACTTTTTTGTGTTTTCTAATTTTGTCATGATAGATATGTAGTATTTGTATAATTTTTTAAAAAGTATTTTAATAAAATACAGAATGTATTAAATCTGTATAAATCTATACTGGCTACCTAGAAAATTTAATGCTAGAAAGAGTCAGGCTATAGAATAAACTTTTACAAAACCTGACAGTGTGATTCAAGTAGAAATACTTTTCAGGCTCACAATGACCCTGACACTAAACACTAATCAATAGGACCCTAGAATAAGATAACAAACAAGAACTTGGAGCAGATGTAATAGAGTAACAAACAAATGTCTAGGGTTTCGAACAAACCCAAGACCCTGAGTTTGATTTACTACTCTATTGAGTTCTGGTCTGTGTTGATCTTTTGCTTATCTGATTAGTGCAAATTTCCCAGTTTGCTCTTTCCACTTCTAGTCTACCCTGTAAACGATGCCTAATTAATAATGGTATTAACCAAAACTTACATAGTGTTTACTATAACCTTTCATATATTAATTCAGTCTTCATAAATTATGTTCCTCTTTTCAAAAACTTTCACTTGTTTCCTCTGACCAAAAACTTTCACTGGCTTCCTCTGACCAAACCATTAAATTCCTTTGCTTGGCATTCAAGGAGTCATGAAATGTAGCCCTAATCTTCCTTCCCAATTATAGTTATGGAGTAGTCATATTATTAGAGAGCCGGGAGGGACCCAAGGGATCATCGATTATGTTTTATTTTAGGGAGTCAGCAATCGATACAGGGATGGTAAGAGTAACCTGCCCAAGAGCCTATACTTTCCAGGTCAAAGAAGGACTAAAACCCAGGTCTTGTGCCTTCCAGTCTCACCGCCATAGCTCTGCTTCATTTTAGCCACAGAGACCTTTGCATTTACCTTCCCTATAATCCTTTCTCCCTCTCTCAGCATATTCAAATCTCATCCTTCAAGGTCTTGGTCCAGCCCCCATTACTTACATTATGAAGTTTTTCCTGATCATATCACTCCACGGTAATTTCTTCATTCCTTTGAGCTAAAAGCTATTGCTAGCTAAGTGATAATTAACCATATATGTCTCATGACATTTATTCTTTCACTAAACTGCTATTTATTCTGATCCAGTTTAATTGTGTGTGTACCTTCTCCTTATTGAAAGTATAAATTATTAAGCTGTTCTTTTAGTTGAAAAAGTCATATATTCACATTGCAAAAAAGATTAATAGTACAAAAAGATATGCAGTGAAAAATAAGTCTCCCTTCTGTGCCAGACACCTACTACCTCTCTCGGAGCAATCACAGTTACTAGTTTCTTGTATAACCTTCCAGAAATGTTCTGTGCATAGACAAGCACATGTATGAAATCATACATCATTCTCCATATTGCCCTTTTACTTATTGATATGACTCAGAAGTTATTGCATAATAACATAGATATCATTCATTCTTTTTAACCACTGAATATACTAAAATTTATTTAACCGGTCTTCCTAATAAGTTACAATTTTTGAATGAGTAAGGACATTTCACAATATGGTTGCATTAATATCACAAATTATAAAGAGAAAATAAAGGACGATATGACAATAAATAAATCTAAGGCACTATGCTGACTGCTATTACAGCTAATAGATATACAAGAACCTGACCCTGTCTTTAGGAAATTTAAGAGTCCGATACAGGAAATGACTATAATAAAAGACAATATTGACTTGTTATGAGAGAGGGCCAAGGGAAGAGGATAATAGCACAGGAAGGGATATGGAAATTCTGTCTTGAGCTCTCAACTGGGAACTAGAAATAGAAGGATGTGGGTACACGTTAATTGGGATCACTTAAGTATAATGTTATGTAATCTTTGACACACACAAAAGAATACATATAGTGTATATGTATGTTTTAAAGCATAATAATAGAATAAGCATTCGTGAATCCACATTCAGTTAAGAACATTAGTGATACCACTGAAGCTACCTATGTACTCCCCAACCCATCTCCCTGTCTCTCATCTGGATACCACTATCGGATCACTTTTATCCTGCCTTCTACTTTGTTTCAGAAACAGTTATATCCACAGATAGGAATACTTAACTTACCTTGGCCCTGAAGCCAGAAATATATTAGAGGCTCCCTCTGCTGGTTTCATGTGTAGATACCAACGGATTATATTTTTGCATAAGTGACACTTCCACAGGAATAGCAATTATAATTATTTTATATTGAGCGGCTACTATGTGTGCGTATTAAATGCTTTGCATATCTCACTTAAAATTTATAAACATCCTGAGAAGAGGTAGTGGTTTTCCAAATTAATAGATGAAGAAGCTTAAGACACAGTGAGGTTAACTAATTTGTCTGAGATTATATATCTAGTAAGGGCAAAATTGAGATTTGAACCCTAATCAACTCCAAAGATGTGCTTTTTCTTGCTGTGACTTAATTAGATAATTTATCTAAAGCATTTAGTACAGTGTCTGGCACAGAGTAAACTCAGTAAATCATAGTTGTTATTACAGTAATCAGCAAATGGTGATGAATAGAAAATTGGCAAAAGGACATGTAAAATTATGCTTTGAAGTAAAGCGACATTAGGATTTAGAAACAGTTATAAGAATAGCAAGTGTGTAAGTAAAATTATTCTCTTCAAGTATTTCAGAGATGAATGATGGCTACAGCCTAGGGGAGGAATCACATGACATACAAGACCCTTTAGAATCTGTTTCCTGCTTCCTTACCCAGCTTCATCTCTGACATTCTGCCAGGCATTCTGTGCTAGTCAGATGGCCAACTTGCAGTTTCCTGAATGGTTCATGCACTCTCATGCCTCCTTGCCTTTGAACCTGATGCTTCCTTTCCCTGAACATTCATTCACTTGGTTAACTCCTGCTTACTCTTCAAGACCGGGCTTGAGTGCCACCTGTCCCAGGAAGCCTTCCCTAATTCTCCAGGTTAAGTAAGTTAATGCCTTTATTATAAACACTATCACACTGTATTATAATTGCATATTTACCTGTCTGTTCACCTCACCAGACTGCAAGCTCCTTGAGCTTGGAATGTGTTTTGAAATAAATGAATGATCCTGACACCATCTTGTGACCAAATGTCATTTGTTTATGCCCCAGCAAATTAGATATTCAGCAACACATATGCTTTGGAGCTGTGTTTTCAACTGTGATATTGAAATTATATGTAAACTGCAGGCAACTCCTTCAAATGATGTTTTAGAAATTCAAAGGCTGGACCTCAGATTAGAGTGTTAACTCATCTGCTTTGGCCATCAGTCTTACTGAAGAGATAGTTGTTATATGTAATGGAAAAGAGCTATCTCATGGTCATTTTTCATTAAAATTTGGGGGCCAGAGGATTATTGTTCTTGAGGAGTGGAACCAGAAAGATTAGGATATTAGAGACAGTATTTGAAAGGGCTCCATAAACTAGGATGGATATATAATTAGGAAGTTTGAAGGGCTGGGCAGTAAATGAACAAAAAAATGAAATAAGTCCATCTAATCTTAATTGAAAATTTTAATAACTATGTCACAAGCAAATTTGAACATAGTTAAGCTTTCTCCCTTTCTCCATTCTTTTCTCATGGCTCTTATAAGTCAGTATTCAGAAAAGAAAGATAAAGAATGTGATCATGCTTATAATACATAATGGCAGTAATACTCAGTTAATTTCCAGATTTTTGGGGTGTCCTTTCTCTTTTTTTATACCACTTTGCCCATTTTATTCATCTTTCCAAGGTCTGTAAATTCCTTATTTCATTTAGAAGACATTTCCCTGCAATATTCTATTTATTGTGAATATACTAATAAAATACCAAAATTGTTTTAGAAGATAATTAATGTATAATCCTAGCCAAGTTAAACAATTTTTTAAATCCCTTAATCTGTCCACATGTATTTAAGTTTTCCATATAATTTTTGATTTTGCTGTTATTTTACTTAACATAAAACTGTGTTTTTCAACTTGTTACAAATATCTCTGTTATGAGATATAATTATGGATTGTGTGTGAGTTCAGTTCTGAATTATCTCTTGTGAATTCTTTACCATGGTAAAGTATGTGTGAGAGGACACAGGACACATGGTCCCTGCCCCCTGGAAGCTTATTATCAGTGTGAGGAAGGGAAGCATCTGGATACATATGGTGTCCTTTGTTGCTGACACATCACTAAATGGCCTAATTTTGAATGCAGTATGTTAGACATAAGATATACCTGAATGTATTTTTGTTTTGCTTATCCAAATAAAGATTTGTATCAAAGAATGTCTTAACACAGGTGAGAGACAGATGACTAGTAGGTTTCAAAATCATTTTCAATTCAGTATTAAGGCGTGGTATAAATATCCAGTCCATGCGCCACAGTTTTGAATTTTGAATTGTTTTTATAAATGGTATAGTGAGAGGAAATAGGTTGCGCCAAAGATGCTCTTAGAAAATAGAACCCTGCCTCTCTAACGGCTGTGGAAATCTAGCCCAGAATAGGTGACCAAATTATTCATCACCTGGTTAAAGAAATTAGTCTGCGTGGTTCCCAACAGAACAGATGCCATGTATTTGCAGCACTCGAGAGCCTGTTATTCACAGCCTGCTATGGAAAGAAAGCTTTCTATTTGGACAGTAAAATGGCCCTGGTAGAAGAACTGCTGTTGGACGTGGTTCCACAGTGTAGTGGTTAGCACGTCTGCTTTACACACAGAAGGTCCTGGGTTCATGCCCCAGTGGAGCAATGGTTCATGGTCTACGGCCATGCCACCCTGAACAAGCCCGATCCTGTCTGATCTCAGAAGCTAAACAAGATCAGGCCTGGTTAGCACATGGATGGGAGACCACCAAGGAAGACCAGGTGCTGTAGGCATAAATTAAAAAAAAATAAAAAACAAAAAAACCGTTGTTGATGAGAGAGAACAGGTAAGGAGACTGCAAATAGACTGGGGATTGCAGCTCACCGTTTTTCTTACCCCAGGCAATTGGTACAGCACATTTAGTGTCGTCAGTGGGAAAATGTTTATTTAATGTTTAATACAGGTACCCTTGACTGCAAACAGTCATTTATCACATCTTAATCCTAAGAAAGTTATTGGCAAAATAGAATTAATTTCTCATTTACTTTTTAGTGACCAAATGGGGTGGCCAAGAAGAAACAATGAGTCATAATTCTCAGGTGCAGCTGTCTAACAGGTAATACTGAGTGTAAATTTGCATTTATCCAACTAATCCAACTAACAATCATGTCCTTCATAGCTGACCTAACAGCTATTTACACAGCATGTACTTACCAGACTTCTGCAGGCAAAACTAGTATGGACAAATCCAAAAGTACAAGGGAGCAATGTTTTCTGTTCTTTGATTTCTTATCTGAAAGTAGATCTGAGAGTGCTTTGCAAATTTTATTTTAGATACACAGTTGACACTTAAAAGGTAAGAGTTTTCTGATTTGTAGACAGTGATTTACTGCTCCCATATCTAAACATGAGGATATTGAGAATTTTTTTAAATGTAGAAGAAAATTAATGTGTATTTATTAATCACACGTAAATATGTTTGGAAATTAGTCTGATGTAATGGATAAGCCATATTATAAGTTCAGGCAAAGCAAAGTATGATGCACAGATCCTGGTATCTTTTGTGTTTATTCAGAGGCCTTCCAGGGGTCTGGACCCTATAGGTTGGACTCTATTTTTATGCCATTTCTTGTTTCACCATCACATAATAAAATGCTTTCCTACAGTCTGATTGGTGGAGATTTTTAGCTTTTTAAACCCACAGATTATGTTTTTAGAATATAACAAATGGAAATGATATTCTCTTATTGAAAAGAGTAGTATGTTGTATAATCTATTCTAACCTGATTCTATATATAATCCTGTATTTATAGCTTTTAAAATTTTTTTATATCATTTTTTATTAGTTACAAAAAGAATATATGCTATTATAAAACTTAAAATACTGCAGATATCTATACAGTAGAAATTGAAAAGCTAAGGTAATTCTATTCTCCAGAAATAACCACTGTTAACAGTTTAATGTCCATTATGTCCAAAATTTTTTCAATCCTTCTGCAGACATCACTTTTTAAATTATTTTTATAATAGATTTATGTATTTACATTATCTTGCAGCTTGTGTTGTTGTCTTAATAATCTTGGACATTTTTCCATATTGTACATAAAAATCTCTCAAGCAAGGCAAACATACTTATATGTATATCTTTGCACACTTGAGCATATAGCTGTAGGACAAATTCCTAGAAGAGGAATTTCTAGATCCGATGTTGCCAAATCTCTCCCTTAAAAGATCGCATCACTTTACGCTCTCAACAGCAGTTATGGGAATGCCTGTTTCTCTGTAGCTTTTCCAAAAGTAGTTATCAATCTTTTTAATATTTGCCAATTTTGATAAGCCAAACTGGTGTGTTTATTGTTTTAAGTCATATTTAGTTAAATATTAATGGTGGCCATCTTTTTGTGTTACTAGGCCATTTGTATTGTGTATGTGAACTGCCTGACATTTCAAGAAAAGCTTAATCATTAATCTGCAGGCTTCCCTAACAATTGCTGTATAATTCTTATTCGTGTGTCATAAAAATATGTAATTAATACCTTAAACAGAGGTAAAACTAAATGCATATTTTGTGCATTTTCTGAGGGTGTTTTGTTGTTGTTTATTTTATTCTGTTTGTAACCTAGAGCCATGGAACTATTAAGGGTAAAAGGTCAAAGATCCTGGTCTGTCGGACTATCAGTAGCTGACCTGGTTGACAGTCTTGTAAACAATAAAAAGAAGGTGCATTCCGTATCAATTTTAGCAAAGGTAATTGCTGTTCTCATTCTCTCATCATATTTTTAAACTTTTATCTTATGAATATTAAGCCAGAAAAAGTTCTATTCACACTATAACCCAGGTGTATTCAATATCACCAGCTTTTAGAGTAACACATGGAAGGAGACAGTTTGGTCTAAGCTCTATCCTGCCTGGTTATGGGAAGTCTGGACTTTTCCTAGGTGACCCCCTCACCTCCATGTAATTTGGGGGAATTCCCAAGAAGCATTTATATATTCCATAAACTTCTGGTTGTCATTTATCACCTCAACCAGCCAGGTCACCCCAGACTGGCATGCCAGTTGGCCTTAGTTGGTCATCAGTCTGCTTCTCCAGTTGTTTGTCCTTTACCACTTTATCCCAAACATAAACTCTTTAAAGCACAGCTAAGACAAGGCACAAATACTTAACCAAATTTCCCCTAAAACTTAGGAATACCGGGAGAAATAAAACATGGAAAGGAAAGCTTAAAACAGGTTACTGTATTTGACTGCACCCTGAGTCCATTTTGTGCCCCTCCCCTGACAGTCTTTTTTCTTCACCCCCAAGCTGCTACCCATATTACAGGGTGCTAGCTTACCTTCCCAAAAAAGGAGGTGTCTTTGACCAAGTTCCTCCTATCTCAAGAAAATTTTCTGAAACAGTAACTTACAAAATACATGAACAAAATTTTTTAAAAAGCTCAACTTGTATCACTTTGTACTAGGGCTAGAAAAGCAAGAAAGTATTTATGATACTTTTTTTTTTTCAGTCATTCTGCTCTATTATAATCCAAATTTTATTCATTTCAGGGATATTATGATATAAAAAGTGAAGTGTTTTTGAGTTTGCCTTGCATCCTGGGAACCAGTGGGGTATTGGAAGTCATCAAAAGCACAATGAAAGAAGATAGAGTAACTGAGAAACTCCAAAGCAGCGCATCATCGATCTATGATCTCCAACAACAGTTAAAACTTTGATTCTAAAGTTCAGTTACCTGAAAGGAAAGGTCATTTAATTTTGCCAACATATATAGGGTTGAGAACTTCTCAGTCTTATTATTTATCCTTACAAACTGCTTGTTAAGGTAGATGGTTTCTTAGTTAGTTTTGTAATTTGAATTCTTAAATAATTAGATAAGGAGGAAAAAAATCTAAATTTCTTTGTTGTTCTTGAGATATGTATACTGTTCTTTAAACCTACAGCAGAGATAAACATCTGCAATATGCATCATATAAAATTATGTATCCTTAACTAGAAGCACATTCAGCACTTTGGGAATATTTTGAAAGTAATATTTTTAAAAGAAAATTACTTTCTGACTGTTATAGTAAACATGGTAAGCTGAAGGCCCAGTATGGATTTATGAAATCTATGCTAGGTATTCATTCAAAGGACCTGCAGTTTAGGGTATTAATGTTCCCTCTTTAAAATACCGTTGGTAGTAATAATAATAAAAAAGCATTTTGTTTTCCCTCTTCAATTAATTAGCTACCAAAAATGGAAAAGATTTTACACGTACTTGAAAATAGTAAAAGGGAAAGTGAAATTTTTTAAAAGTGTAGTTTAACTTCCAGTCGGACTGTCCTTTTTGAAATTTTCTATACCTCTTCTTGGGCTATATCAGATCTCTAATATCATAAACTCACTGTAATATTAGAACCATAGAGAAATGTGTATTTTCAGTGAAAATCGATTATGAATTAAAGCCAAGCAGTTTACTTTAAAGTTAATATATGAGGCTTTCATAAAAGCCATTGGTTTTAAAGGGGAGAGGTTGGATAGACTGATTGTTCTGAGCAAATTCTTTAACTAAAGAAATGATTGTGTACATATGCTTTGGTGATGGGTCAATATATTCATATGTGAAAGATAGCATATTATTAAGGTGGCATGCAACTAATAGTAACAAATAACGTCAACATTTCTTATATTTCAGGCAGTGTGAAGAGCACTTTATTATTTTATTGAATCCTCACAGTAACCCATTGAGGTAGGGACTATTATCATCATTTTACAGAAGGGAAATTGAGTTTTAGTGCCCAAGATTTCATGGCTAAGGGGTACTTAAACATACAAACTACTTTTTCTAACACTAGAAGGGGAAAAAGGCCTAATAGCCAAATGGTTACCACAAGACCCTAAAGCAGGGGTTCTGTGCTCTTCCATTCTCAAGTGGAAGCTGACTTTTTTTTCCTTCCCCAAAGAGTTTTTAGAAAGATTGATTCCCTGCCTTCCTGGATTTACCTTCAGCAAATAGGAGAGTGGGAGTTGCACCGAAGTAGGTGTTTGTTTATTTAGTCATTCAGGTAGTATGACTGGGAGCCTAACAAACACCCAATGCCGCATATGTTAGGCACTGCAGATACCGTGGTGAGCAAATCTGGATTAGGTACAAGCCTTCAGGGTCTTTATAATCTAGTATGGGAGACATAGTAATCAAATCACACAAATAAATGTACAGTCACAAATGTATTAAGTACTGTGAAGAAGTCCCAGGTTTTTGAAAGCATATCATAGGTGAATCCAAACCTGGTCTGAGAGATAGAAAAGCCTGATGGTTTAGAAGGACAGACACATCCTAGTTAGAGGAAACAGCCAAACTAATGCTGATTTAGTATAAATGTTTATAATGATGAACTTAAATCATTAAGAAAAGGTGAAATTATATTCAGTGTCCTATGTTTAGTAAGAAAGTAGAAAAGTATTTAACATGCTTGGAAAGATTCCTACCAGAATTACCTACTATAAAACCTTAGACATTTGAAGAGAGGAGAGAAGCATTAGTTCAGTGTAATTTTACTAGATGGGTAGATAATTTTGGTGTTACTCTAACAATGTATCCACATTGTCCTTTTGTATGCAATAGGAAAGTAAAACTGAAAGAACCATTCTTATGTTTTTTAAACTAATTAATATTAATATTAGATACCTAATCAGAAATTAGGTAATTTCTACTAATATCTAAGGTGCTCTTAAACAATAACCTAACTACAAGATGCTGTATAGTAGATGTGTTTCCAGGTATTCACTATATTAATTATAAAAGAAACATGTCAATACAACAATTACCTACTGAGCAACTACTGTTATTGCAAGTACTGCATTAGAATCTGAGTAAAAACGAATAACAGCCCCACGCTACAGAAGCCCACAATATAGAATTCTGTAAGATAGTTCCTTGAGTTTTGAATATTATCAATTATGTTGCAAGTTCCATACAAGTCAAGAAACAGTACCATGACCACCTCACTATGATTTGATCATTTGACATTCATGATGCTATTAACTTTTCATTTTTCCAAAATCATGCAAGGTCTCTTATGATTTTTGATGGGGCTTATGTTAAAATGTTTCTTTGATATTGTAGCAGAGATAAATATTTTATTTTCCAATTTACATTGTAATTTTCCTTAAATATTAAATAATGAATAAAATAAACTTTGACTTTAAATTCACCAGGAAATGCCTAATTTATTGAATGGTAGATTTATTCAATTTGAGGAGAAAGTTTATTTCATATAATTCATATGGTCCCCAGGGTATTTAGTTATTCTAAGTGGCCTAAATACAAAACGAAGAGACCGGATTTTGTTTTCAAATTTTAAAAAATTATTTTAACAAACCTTTTTAAACAATAAGTTTAGTAAAGCTAGTACGCAAGTGTAGTGCAATGCAAGGTGGAACGCAGCCTGTGCACAGAGAAGTTCTGACTTAGAATGGGTTCCTGGAGAAGAAATTACTTCCAGGCTTCCTGCGAAACAAGGGCTCTGCACTTTGCCCTTGTTAATGTAGTATGAAGAACTTTAAAGCTTAAATCTGAGCCTGATAATCAGGGCATCATCTAAGGCAAGCCTCTCATCTTGAGTTGGAAAAAACTTCAGCCCGAGCTATTAGAGCACTTGCCCGCTATTATCACAAGGCCGTCAGTAACCAGTTTTCTGACTCCTAGTCCAGTGCCCGCCCTCTTGATGAATCAGTCATTGAAGCTCACTGGCAAGACCTTCAGAGTACTACTTTCCCTCCCTGCAACTGCTCCCCTAGTCTAAAGGCAACTGAAACACCTGTCGATCTCCGAACAGGTTTACCCTGATCACTGGTAACCGACCTGGCCTGCGGAACACCTCACCTGAGCAGCGGGTTGATGGGAACCCCACGCCCAGCCTAAGTGCTTACTTCGGAAGTGACGTAAAGGAAGCGGAAGGACCGTCGTGGCGGCCGACTTCCTGTTGTTAGAGGCGGGGGGGTGGGGGGCTGGCTACTCGGTGTGCGATTGTGCGGGGCGGCCTGGGGCGGCCCCGGAGCGGCTGACCCTCTGCCTACAGGGACGGGAGCCGCGAGGTGGCCGCCATGGCGGTGTCGGAGAGCCAGCTAAAGAAAATGGTGTCCAAGGTGAGGCCGCGACGCGCTCGCCACCCGGCGCGCACCCACCGCACCCTTCTGCGCCCGGGTGGGCCTGGCGGGACCCATCTCAGCGAGCCTCCCGCGCGGGCCGGAAGCCCCAGTCCCATCCTCCGGAGCCTTTACGGCCCCTAGCCCAAAGAAGCCTGTCCCCTTGTGCCAGCACCCTGATACGGCGCCAGGGAAGGTGGGGGGCGGTGACAGTCAACAAAGGCGCGGAGCGGAGGCCGCCTGCCACCTGCCGCCCGCCCTCTCTTTGGGTTGAGTTTGGAGCAGTCCGAGAGGCAGTATAGTTTTCATTTTAGTGTTTATAAACAAACGGAAGGGGGTTGTACTGAATTCTCGATCTGGAGCCGTCCTCCCCTACTCTTTGTCCCACTGTATGGATCCGTCAGTCTTCGCCCTTCCCTCCCGGCCCCCAGAGATTGTGTCCTTTTCAGTTTTGTATTCCTCACACAGCTCAATACCCGACCCGCGGGAGATGAGTAACTTGGTTGAATAGGCTCGTTTATGAGTAAAAAGGTCCAGAGAAGTCAAAATACCAGTACCTCACTACCTCAGGTGAAATAATTAGAATTCCATTACCATTTCAGGGACTTTGATTTGCTAAGAGTAACTATCTTTAATTGTATGCTTCTTATAACTCGAATTTATTTACATTGAACTTCAAACTTTATAATCTTCACAGTTCGAGACCGGTGTATTTTATTCATTTTTTAAAAAGCAGATAAACATTTTGTTAAGTCTGAATTTTGATAATTACTTCAAATGTGGCACCTGATACCTGAGGAAACGTGATTTTTTGGTTTTGGAGTTTTTTTCAATTTATCAAACATAATTGCAATAAGATACATGTGAAGTGGTTGAATTTTATGTAGATTCGTTGGATTAGCTTTGTATGTGTTTGTCAAAGCAGGAATTGTAGAAATCGAAGTAGTTGAAACCATTTCGGTTTTACAAAAACACATGTATAAGCTTATTTCTTTGGGAAAAAAATTGCTTTTTCCTAGTAAAATCATAGTCTTTGGTTGAAAAGCAAGTAACCTCTAAAGAGATAGTGACAGTTTTCAAAATCAAGCTTCTCTCCTGGTTGTCTACTCTCTTGTAGACTTCTTGATTTTTTTTTTTTTTTTTTTTTGATGAAGTAGTTATACTTAATTGTAGAGGAAGTTTTGGGGAGCCCTAGAAGATTGTTGGCTCAGATCTATGTTGTAAGAGTTATATGTCACTTCTTTAAAACAGTACATTATTTTACAAACTATAAAACTAAAGAATATCTGTTCCATGCCATTTTTGATATTTAAATTGATAGCATAGTTTTAAGGCTTATTCCTTAATATGTAAATACTCATATATAGGGACAAGAATATTCAAATATTTGTTTTGAATTTTAAAAACTGTAATTACTAAGCTTCCTCTAGAGGAACCTGCCTCTCCCTCCAACCTCTTTTTACCCTAAAAACAAACAAACAAAAAAAAAGTATAGGGAAGAGGTGGGAGAGGGCATTCTACCTATTGTTTGATTCTTGACCCAATATCTGAAAAACTGAGTCTCCTAAAAGTAATGATGTCAATTCTGAGTATCAGTATCTTTTTCTGATGGGTGGGACTAGTAAGTAGGATAGCAGAAGCAATTTGTGGAATTCCCCCTGCTTGCTTCAGGTGTTATCCTTTCAGTTCAATGTGGGAAGTTTTAGCCAGACCCCTGGACGCATTGCTGGAGTGATGGTCTTTACTCTTTATTTGATCGTGGGACCTCCACACCCATCATGGTACTTTGGGCCCCTGCCTTGACTAATGTCTTTTTATTGTATTTTATTTTGAGGTATAATTTGCATACAAGATCTTTATATATTATTACAGATTATTTTTTCCCTTTGAGCATTATCTTAACTCCCAACCTAAATATAACTTTTAGTTAACACTCCTCTCTGCCATGATTTTAGCAATTTATAGAGGTATATTTATACCATTAGTCCATCCTGCTTTACACAAATAGCTTTCTACTTTAGATTTTTCATATAGGCAACTACCTGTATCTTACATAGTGTATTTACAACTTCTTTAGAGGTTGAGTCATCATTCAATAGCTAGAAGAGAGCTGACACTTTAAAGATTGCTATGCACCTCACACTGTTCTAGGTTCCAGGGATACAGCAATCAACAGACAGAAAACTCTACACGTCTGGAACTTAAATTCTCATAGAAGGCCATAAATAACTCAATAAATACATTAAATAATATGTTGGAAGGTGATGCATTTTTTGGAGAAAAGGAAAGCAGGAAAGGGAAATAGAAGAGTGCTTGTGGGTGAAGACGAGATGGGTTGCAATTTTATAAAATAGTAAAGGAAGTCCTATATGAGAAGATTTATATGAGCAGAGATGTGAAAGAGATGAGGAAGCAAACTAAAACAATCCAGAGTAAAAACATTCCAGGAAGAAGGAAAAACAAGTCAAAAGGGCTTGAAACAGAAGGTGGTCATGCATGATAGAGGAACAACAAAGGAGGCTAAGGTGGCTGGACTGGAGTGAGGAAGAAGGAAAGTAGTGGTACAAAAAAAAAAAGGTCGGGGAGACTTTAGAGGGTCTTGCAGGCCTTTGTAAGGGCTTTGGCATTTACTTGGAGTATGATGGGAAGACTAGGCTATAGGAGGTTACAAGGGAAGCCAGAGACACCTATAAAGAGGCTGTCGCAATAACCCAGGTAAGAGGTAATAGTGGCTTAGAC